AGATGATTATTAATTTATAAAAATAAAAGAGAAAATGGATAAAAAAATGATTTGTACCCCCGCATCAGCTGACAAAAACCCAATATAATAATCCAATAATCTTTAATAAGTAATATAAATATAATACATTTTTAACTGTATATTTATCCTGGTGAAAATTTTTCTCATAATTTTTATACGAATTGAAAGATTTTTCAGAAATATTCAGAAATATTCGAAAAGTTTACATCTTCTCTCAAAATTTTTTAAGTGAATTCTAAAATATTCTGAAATTTCATCTCATAATTTTTAAAAAATATTTTAGATTTTATAACATTTCATCAGAAATTATATTTACAAAAAAATCTTAAAAATCTTATGATATTTTCATAATTAACATATATAAAAAATTCTGAGAAAAGATGTAATTAAATGGATTAACAAATTAAAAATCAGGGAACGGAAAGTTACTTTTTAAAAATAACAAATTACTCGTTCCCGAGTAGAAAAAGAAACAAGTTACCGTTACTAATTACTAATTTTTAAAAGTTACAGTTACCGTTACTTGAGAAAGTAACATTCATTTTCCGTTACTTTTTTAAAATCGACGACCATTCACAGAAGGGCTTAATTTCTAGTCTCAAGCGTTATGATTGGCTTGTGTTCATCATGCAAAGTAACGATAAAAGTAACTGTAAAATTCGTTACTGAAAAAGTTTCTGAAAAAGTGTAATTTCCTTACTATTATACAATTACCAAAGAAAAAAAGAGTAACGCAATTACCAATAAAGTTAACAAAAAAAAAGTAATTTGTAACTATAACTTCGTTACAAGTAACGAATTACTTCCATTCCTTATTAAAAATTTATTTCAACTGTGTGAAAACTTTCTGTCTTGAAAAATTTGTCGCCCCCTCAAATTTGCCGCTCTAGGTAAGTGTCTTGTTTGCTTCCTACGCGTTAATCCGTCACTGTAAAACATGTATAAATATTCATAAACATATACACGGTGTCTAATAATTGATCTCACAATTTATATTCTTAGCTCTAAAAATGTATTTTCAACATTTCTTATTCATAATCTCCATTCTAGTTTTCTGACATTGTATGCATCCATAAATTTTTGGTGATACATAAAGGATTTTATAATTTCACGTTACCCAATTCTCGCCACAGACCGAAAAATTGATTTGCAATATAAATTTTATAATATGGACTTCAACATTTTGACTTCTTATTGACATCATACAGAGCATTATGTGATATCCGCGTTTACTTTTATTTGTATGTATAAGATAAGGTTCTTTATATTTATATTTAATTAATGTAAAAAATCTTTTGAAGTTGCTGAGGAAAGCTAAATCCGAAACGTACATGCGTGCTTTATATTTCTCGTGACATAATAGAATAAATTATAAATTAATCATCATCTGATATGCTCGTTTAAATCTATTGATTTTGAATTTGTTTATTGCTTTGCATTACGAGCGTGATTAGAATTTAACTTTTTAATACATTGTCTGTTAATTAATTACAAAACTCTCGCATAGCGTAGAATGGATTAAATCGAATCGAAAAGATGGAAGATGCATTAATTTAGACAATTGTACACGCTAATTGTAATCTTCTTTTAAAACGTACATGTATCGGTGAGTGTATACGAAATCATCTCGCATTTCAATTAGTCACAATTAGATACAATCAGATTTTTCAAAAAATTGCATGGATTGACCAACTAAAAAATTTTTCATGCATGAATATATATAAGTATGTATAAATATACATAAACATATGTAAACATTTATAATATGAATATAATATTATACAAGATGTCCTTAAATTCGACGGACTAAACTGAATCGAAAAATCCTCTACCATTTTGCGATTTTTGCATTGGTTAATGAGATATTAATTACTAAAAATCGTTAAATATTGGTTTATTTCCAATAATTTTTTTACTGCAATCAATTTTTTTACAGAAAAATTGCAAAAGACAAAAATCATTTATTTTCTTCTCATAGAACTTTAAGAATTTTTCCAAAATTTTTTATCAACTTTTTATTACTGTATTTTCTCATTTTTATTACCATAAGAAAATATAGTATTAAACAATTCTGAAAAAATTCTGAAAAAATTCTATCTAAAGGATTATTGAAATGCGAGATGATTTCGTATTCACTCATCGATACATTTTAATATGTAAAACAGATTACGATTAGCATGCAATTATCTAAGTTGATGCATCTTCCATTGTAATAGGAATGAATGAATAAATATGAATGAATAAAAATGAAATAAAAACGGGGACAGCTTCCCATTTTTATGAACGTTTCATGAACCTTACAGTTCATCAGGGCGAAGAGCAGCCTGATAACGTAAGCCTGGCCCGAAACGTTGGCATTCGAAAAATGGATCTGGAACGAAATCCGCGAAACGCATAATCTTTATATTCTTATGTATGTTTACTGATTCACTAATTTAGAAGTAACGCTAACTTCACTCCGATGCTGTGCGACATAACGCTATTAATGGAATCAAATTAAATTGAATTAAAAAAATACGAAAAAATTTAATATTGTATCTGTAAGCATAAATCCTGTAAATTATTAATTCTTATTAAACAATCAAATTATTAAACAATGAAAAATTCATTACATCTGGTAAATATATTGTTAATATATTGTTATTATTATTTAAATAATTCTGAGCTCGAGCTATTTTAAAAAGAATAATATGTGTAATGTTGATTTTTATTTCTAAAAGAATTCTATAATTATTTATATTTGTTATGAACTACTGTTGTAAATTAGTGATTTTTAAAATCGTTATTTTTCGTATAGATTATTTATAGTTTGTTAATCGAAATAAATAAAAAAATTTTTATAAAACTCCTTTATATTTGTATGAAGAATTTTAAATTATAATTACACACAACAACATTATTATTTATAAT